AACCTCCCCTTTTCCAGAGGAAGTACATAGTTGAATAGGATAAAACAACATTTTTTTTAGAATGAGGTGAGACCTCAGCCTGAAACTGGATAAGTTCTGGATTGGTGAAACGGAATGTGTTGAACATTTCTCTATCTAGACAAGGACATGCATAGACATAATATCTCTTCCAGCTGTTTTGCTTTCACCACAGTAGAACCAATCGACAGTTCGTTTGTTAGTTCCGTCCTAGAAGGTATCTCAGACGACCGTGTCCTAAAAGAAAAGCAGTCCCTGCCATATTTCGCAGATTCCTTCCGCTTCAATCTAGGATCTGGTTGGTTATTTTTTAATGATTCAGGCAAAGCGCCTTCCATTATTTCATTCCTGTCAGATCAGGGCAGTATACCTACGTGACTCTATTTCCCTCCATCTACCGAGATAATTGTTTAGTTCGCACTTGTGAACACAGCTTGAGTTCTCCGTCGTGTCCAGATACCCACAGTAAAGTAACTCTGTTGTAACCACCAAAAGGCACTCCAAGGATTCAATGAAGTTCTCTACGAGATTAGACTAGATTTTACTGAAATATTGTTTTCCGAGATTGATTGAGATCATTGTTCGGCGGTTTCTTGGATTGATCTCTTCCCCAAGACAGAAAAAGTTTTCGGGATGTGTCTGAGAAGCCTACATATCAGGAAACTTTCCTAGAGTTTGGAGATATTTTGTGTCACTCGGTACCTATCCGAGTTTTTCCAATGACAGCTCAGGGGCTGACGACTTGTGAGTACGAGATTGGCAATCCCGAGGTAGGTACCCTAGCAGGATACTCAGTAATCTTCAACTTGTCTTGGATGGTATCCTCTTCATCCTCCACTTTTCGATCTTTTCTATCGGACTCTCTCGGTCGATCTCCATTTTTTTTCCTTCTCCCAAGCCGAGGCTTCTCGGCAAATTGAGTATTTTGCGGACATATTTGCTCTCAACACTCAGATGGTACAATTTCGTGGACATCTGAGTGCAAGGATCATGCAATTCGTGAACGTCTGCTCTTGTGGCCGCAGATTGATAACAAGGTTCTGGTAACCTAATCCAAGTTATGGATACCCGTGACGAAGGATGAATGGCACCGATGTTATATGGTGTCGATAACGGGACCTCTGGGAAACAGGGCCACATCTCAGAGTAAGCAGCCTTAGTCCAGAGGCCCCGTTAGCGACACCAAACCTCGGTGCCATTCATCCATCGCCACGGGTTCCCACATCTTGGATTAGGTATATACAAATCGCCCCATTCTTGCCGCAGATGTCCACGAATTGTCCCATCTTTCCCGGAGATAGCAAAGATGTTCCCAAAATGCTTCATCTGTCAAGCGGCCGCGGTCTGTCCTCCATACACCACTCAATGGTAGAGTTGGGCTTGGAGGGGAAGAGTAATAGAGATGTTGGCCAAGGAAGGTTGATAGGATAGATTGAATATCCGGCTAGGATACCTCGAGTCCACCATTCCCGTACTCACAAGTTGTGAGCCCCTGAGAGATCGAGATATGGTTCTGCCTAACATTTTATTCGAATCTACATTAGGAGAGATGCCTCATGTTTGAAAACATCTTATATAAATAGTTATATACCAAATATTCCTAGAAGATTCTCCAACTATCTTGGAAATAATCAAGAGTGTTTAGTGAGTATACCCAAATATAGGGACTCCGACACTACCATGATGGGAATGATCCTTCGAGGTGTCCATAGGATGTTGACCATTTGGGTGAAACTAGGTGAGGTGAAACTATATCTATCTTTGTTACACATGCAACCATACCAATAGTCCTTCCTTTTTTTTACGTGACTTTCAGTGCTTTGTGCCATGGCGGATCTAGTAGAGTATTAGATGTATTTCATTTCTCTTAATCATCAATGACTTTTTTTCAGCGATTTGGATATTATTATAACCTTATGTGCTACAAAATTTCAATCTCCATAATATGATGTCTTTGTTTTTGTTATCTGAAGTGCAATTGTTTCATTTCTGATAACACGCTCTTTCAATGTCAAATGATCATCAAAGATTTTTCGCTCAATCATTTTCAATCTAAGTATTATTGTGTAAATAGGGATTAGATTATTGATCATACATTTTTCCCATCATTATCCGATTTCAGATCTTCGCATTATCATTTCTAATGTAAGTGATGTTGATTCGTAATCAGGGCAAAGTAGAAGAAAATACCCGCGTTTCATGGTTTTCCTCGAACCACAAAAATCACAAATACCTACATAATATAATATTTATCTTTGTGGCAAGAATCAGTATTCTATGAGGTGTAATATGTAATTCTCTATTTCCCCTCCTACTCAATCAGATGATGAATCAATTTAGAGAATAATGTTCAATCATCATCTTTGATAAAACTTGTACACAGGGTGTCTCAGATTAGGTTTGGTTTGGTTAATTTGGTTTCACTCTTCTAACTTCGACAAACGATCGAAACATTGCAAATACCTATTCTATTACATAGGAACCTGATGTTTATTCGTTATTTAGCTAAAAAGACGTGGAAAATGGTAGGTTAGTGAGAATATCAACAATAATAATAGCGATTATTCATTTCTCTCCATACTCCACTGTCTTTGGCTCGATAATCGAATGAGGGTAGGTAAGCAATATCCTTGTTTGAGACAAAATACAGATCAAGCAAGTATGTGAATCTTGAAGGCATTCCTGATCAAAACCAAGATACTTAAATATAATATAAGTAGTGTATTTATATCTCCAGCATTGATATGAAATACCAAATCTGCCGAAATCGGAAACAAATCAGGTGTGCGTCCCAATCTAAATAACCAACCGTAACAATGTTGTTTATTCTTGATGACCTCTATTACATCTTTTTTAGTTCCTAGGAGCTAAAGTTCAACTTCAGCTCCTAGGAACTAAATGTGTTGCCTAGCTACATACCTATATAATTTTGGTATTGAAATATACGACTTTTGTGTCGGTTGCTCTTGTTTTACTGTCTTATAAATCAATGCGGTACTTTGTATGTCAATTTTATTTCCGTATCTGATATCACAATTTCTCCATCGTGTTCTTATAGTATTTCACAAAATATCATCTCCTATGAAATGTCAAATTTTCAAGCAATGACAGCTCAGTTCAATAGATAAGCATTACTGTAGGAAAAACTCAGCTGGCTACAAGCCGAAGAATCAAATATTTCGCTGTTATCGTTACAGCTGTAGAAAAAGTATATAGTGTACAACTAGCACGGAATGCTAATTTCCTACTCGTATCATTTGCAAACTTCATTGTCATGAGAAAATACTATCATTCCGTGCTCGATAAACAATTAATATACCATTTTCTGGTAGGTAGTAAATATATCAGACTGTGGCTGAGCAGAAATAGTTACCTAGGTATTTCATGCAGAAAGAAGAACAATCATTGTTGTAATGTTCTATTTCCTATACTGATAATAATGAAAAATTACTATGCTAACTTATTCTCTTTTTTGTCAAATAATTCGACAACTGAATTTCGTATTTCCAACGAAATTGAACAGTAATTTCGAACATTCGAAGGTATTCAAAATTCCATCAGTGCCGCGCGTAGAAAATATCACAGAAGAAGAAGCTTATCATATATCATATTAGATGCTTATCAGTAAATATTCTGTAGCTGAACAGAAGAAAAATCATTTTTGTAATTTCCTATTGCCTATTGATAATATACAGGGTGAGTCAATAGTGTGTTCTCCTTCGATATTAGCCAAACCGTCAGGTATATAAAAAGTATTCGAATACAACAGTTTTTTGTGAGAGCTATCATCTAAAATTATTTTCATATCTATAGGATGTTCGAATTCCAAGATATCGGCTGATGATGGGTGTTTTCAAATGGGACACCCTGTATATTATTGCATTTTCAATTCTTTCCTGAAGAGCTGATTTCATCAATGCATCACACTTGGGGTCTAGCGGAAATGATTACAGAGATATAGGGCGTTCAGAATCGAAAATCTTCAAAGTTGAAAATATAGATTTTGAACATCATATATCTCTATAAACATTTCAGCTAGTCCCCAAGTGCGATACATTGACGAAATCAGCTCTTAAAGGAGAATCTGAAAATGTATACAGGGTGTCTCATTTGAAAACATCCATCATCAACCGATATCTTGGAATTTGAACACCCTATAGATATGAAAATAATTTTAGGTGATAGTTATTCTTATTCTTATTCTATTTTGGGTCAAATATTTCGAAGACTGAATTTCGTATTTCCGACGAAATTGAACAGGGATTTCGAACATTTGAAGGTAAGCATTCAAAATTTCATCACTGGCGCGCGTAGAAAATATCACAGAAAAAATTACAACCCCCTGCGGCGTTTCACTGGATGAATTGACCTGCGCGATACTATATACATATATCGTCAAAAATGAAGGATTTTGAAAAGAAAATCATAGTCGCAAATCGGCTGAGAAAAATTCACCTATTTCCGATTTATTCCAAAGAAGCTATTTAAATTTTTCAACTTCAAAGCCCTGCATGTCCTCATCAAATCACGAGAGCTATGAAGCTCTGTCGGTGGAATTTCGCAACACCCTGTATACAGTGGTACGGCCGAGAGATTGCCAAGATGCCATTTCGACCTGTTGTACCTGTTGATATTTCTAAGAATGTCCTTTGTTCGTCTTCGACATAAAATTCACCTATATAAATTCTGAACGCCAATGTTAACTGTTGCGTTGCTTTCATGCATACAGCCTTTTGTCTATACGATAACTTGAAATCGACCCTCGAGCAGCATCTCTTAAGCCCTCCGTCACACCTCCGTTAAACATTCAAATTCAAAACTACCTAGCTATATCCATCTTCATTCCGCACAACTCAAAACTACCTTCCAGCATGCATAATACAGAACTTGTCTACGAGGCTATGTCGAAAAGAGGGGGACCCAATAGCCGAGTGACTTTCCCCTACCAACTGCCAAGCTGCGAGTTTGTGTACGTTAACGTTAGTGCGACAAATAGTTCCTCCGAGCATACGTTTATATACTAGCCACATGAAATACTGCCGAAAACAATTAACTTAGTGCGAAGTGTAAGTGTGCAGTGAAGTTGAATAAGAAACAATGTTTGACGTTTTCGGCTCCGTCAAGGGGCTGCTAAAAATCGATCAAGTATGCATCGACAACAACATATTCCGCCTGCATTACAAAGCCACCGTGATCATTCTCATAGCTTTCTCTCTGCTAGTGACGAGCAGGCAATACATAGGCGACCCCATAGACTGCATCGTCGATGAAATTCCACTAAATGTAATGGACACTTACTGCTGGATTTACTCGACCTTCACCGTGCCCAACAGGCTGGTAGGAAGAATAGGCCAGGACATCGTCCAGCCTGGCGTTGGCAGCCACACAGACGGCAAAGACGAAGTTAAATACCACAAGTACTACCAGTGGGTGTGCTTCGTGCTCTTCTTCCAAGCCATGTTGTTTTACGTGCCGCGCTACCTGTGGAAGACCTGGGAAGGCGGTAGGATCAAGATGCTGGTCCTTGACCTCAACTGTCCTATAGTCTCTGACGACTGTAAAAACGACCGAAAACGTCTCTTAGTCGACTACTTCACTACGAATCTTCGCATGCAGAACTTTTATGCGTTCCGGTTCTTCATATGCGAGGTCCTGAACTTCATAAACGTAGTCGGACAGATTTTCTTCATGGACTTCTTCTTGGACGGAGAATTTAGCACGTACGGCAGCGACGTGCTCAAATTCACGGAGATGGAACCGGAAGAAAGAGAGGACCCTATGGCTAGGGTGTTCCCGAAGGTAACGAAATGCACCTTCCACAAATACGGTCCTTCTGGATCGGTGCAGAAGTTCGATGGGCTATGCGTACTGCCTCTGAACATCGTCAACGAAAAGATCTACGTGTTCCTGTGGTTCTGGTTCATTCTGCTGAGTGTGCTGTCCGGGATTTCATTGCTGTACCGAGTTGCTGTCGTCGTTGGCCCTAAGATCAGGCTGTACCTGCTGAGAACTCAGTGCCGTATCGCTGCTCCGGATCAGATGGAGACCATAGCTAATAAATGCGAGATTGGAGATTGGTTCGTGCTGTATCAGCTAGGCAAAAACATTGACCCTCTCATATTCAAGGAGGTGATAAACGATTTAGCGAAAAAGTTAGAAGGCAAAGAGACTGTGTAATCTTGTGAGGTTCGTTTTCTATTGTGCCTTACGAACACTCCTATCAAAAGAATTGGGAATACTGAGTAAACGCTTGGCAGCTGAAACGATTTGCTGCGCCCAGACTTCGTTTCGAGGACGTTCTATCCGATGGACCAATAGTAAAGTTCTGTGATGACAGAAAAGACTGTTATTTCCGGCCAGCATCCTCTTGGGTTCAGCTGTGATATTGATTCTATTTAATTATAATGGTACAATAGCTCAATTAGGTCATTCCAAACAATGCTTTTATTTCCTACTTTCTCATATACTGCCAAATGCATGTCGGATGCTGTGTACGATGTACAATGAAATGATTCGGAGAACCGATTTCGAAGCTGCATAAGATGTTTAATACAATCTTTTTGATCATAGTAAAAAAAGGTTTCTATTAAATTCTCTTCGAGTTATACAATGATATTATTTTCTATTATTATTTTTATAACGAGACTGAATCATCTTGCGAAAGACATTGCCAATGATATTTATCGATCAATATTCCACGAATTTTGTTCTTTCTATAGCTAGCAGCTGTCGAAATCGTCCTCTCTGTGATAGATCTGAAGTAAATATGTGTATGAAGAATGTTTTATTTCATATTGTAATTACGATCATTATAATTTCAATTTAATTCATATGTGATGTTTAGGAGATAGTTTAGACATAAGTTCCATACGTACAATTCCAATCGAGACGTCAGTACGAATAACACGATTTTTTTTATGAAATTGTATTTTATATATTGAAAAAAATGTGTTCAGACGTTACATATTGTGTATATTATAGAGTGACAGAGGGAAACAGCCAAAAGTGCCTTTTGAAATTTGTATGGAATCATATTTAATTGAAAATAAAATAAATTTTAAAATGTGTATGACTATTTACCTATTTTACCATTTGATTATTAAAACTGTAATCAAAGATTGTGTTGAAATAAATAAAAATATAAATATGTATTTCAGTAAACATATAGTATAATAAGGACAAAGACAATAATAAAACAGAAACAATAACTACCTACTATGCGGTTTCATTTCGCAAAACAAAAGTAATAGCTGAAGTATATACTCTGTTTTGAAGAATGTTGTTTTCTGCAAGTCACCATTGGTAATTCTTCAGAATTTGTTCATGGTATAGAACATGAATTATGATAGCAGACTCGTAAATTCGTTCTTATCATGTTTAATGAATTATTGATATACTCAACGGTGTAAGATTCAAAATTGGCAGGATGATTGGATCTGCAAATTTTAACATTTCTCAATTTTCGAATACTTTCCATCATTTCCTGTTTCTGCGGAAACGGTGCCAACTTTGAGATAACAAGAAGAATTTTGATAAATTTCGACATTTTTGGATTCTGGAGATGATTCAAAACACGATTAGGTACATAGATTCGGTAAAAAAAAGAACTCACTTGATTTTGCTTATGAAAACTATGTGATTGTCGCCAGAATCCAAATATGGAAATAATAATTATGTTGGGTGTTCCATTCGGAATTACATAGTTGAGGTCATTTCTGCTAGGAGACCAGAAGTGTTGGGAAATCGAGTACGACACTCATGTCCTTGATAAAGACAACAATTCTTAACAAAAATTATGTTGAATTTTTGCAAACTCTCACTATATATCTCAACATCAACCCTTCTTCTAGGATTCACTAGATGAGATTAATTTTCTCTTATTCTCTGATTCAAAACAGTTTTGAAGGTACTTTTATAAATACCTACCTATTCATCTTTATCTGTCTTGTCTCTAATAATCACAGAATTGCAGTGTGTATGCATACTCATGGTAGATATATAGGTACCTACCGAGGTACCTACCTCGTCTAGAGGTAAGTCGTAGGTACAACCCTCACTAGTAATCCCTTGATTCAAAATATGCCCAAATGAGTAGGTATGATTTATTGCCGTGGTCATTAAATTATCATCAGGATACCTATTTATGTTTTTCCACTATAAGACTCCTGAATTCAACTATCGTTAAAAGGTTTCTTTCCTGTCATTATATTCGAAGTTTATTGAACTATGAATAACATTATGTTTCGTACATGTGGCCCATGTGGGACTCATGGAAATTGATATAACGGTAATGAAAATGTATAGGAATAGGTAATGGCATATTCCTCTTCTTCTTGTTCCATTCATCATTGGTAGGGACGGCCATTTGGTAGGTATACAGGGCGTTACAAGAGTTGCAAATCAAAGGTGGGCATTTCATTAACATGATGATGATCTCATTTTATAGAAATAATGACTAATGAATATTTTCAATTCTCGGTACAAGGAATTTGGAAAATAAGAATGACTATGCAATATTTATTCCGCTTCTCATAGATTAGAACATATTAAGTATGAATCAGTTGAGGAATTTAATTATTGTATTTCACAGAATAAGGCACTCAAACGTCATTTATCAATATCTGATGGTTTGGAGATTTGGTATGTGTTACTGAGAGCAATAATCATTGTTGATCGTTTCAAAGACATCTATGAATTTTGATATATTAAACGGCAATGCTTCAAAAGACTCTCGTATAATGATAATATACTGTGAAATCACTGAGCTATTTTTTTCTCATAACTTTTGAAATCATTGAAAATTTGATGAGGAAATGAATACAGGGTGTGCCAAATTGTATACTTTTGAAGGAAGACTCCTCTTCTTGAAATAGATAGAAGAAAAATGATATCGGTGCCTGGAGGGTCCATTCTTATAACAAACTCAAAAGGTAAGACCGCATATCGATATACCAGGTGTAACAGTATCATGGTACACCCCCTATTTTTCTTTTAGTTCCAGAGATGTGTGATTGAAATTTGGAATGATCCATCAACTTGATAAACATCACGTTTTGACATAAATATGTTTTATTTTCCACTCCCGATTTCACCGCAAGCGGTAAATTTTTGATTTTCAATGAAATATAACCTGAATATCATTGCATTTCCGAATCCTGCATAATTTTCTGAATACAATGATATAAGTCACATTTCAAACTCCAGTATTGATTTTAATTTAATTTTTTTGATTTTCCATCTAAGTGTGCGGTGACTATTTTGATTAACTCTTATCGACAGGTGTGATGCTAGAAAAAATCAAATCCTGCCAAAAAGTTGAATCAAATACGAGTCAAAAAAAATGTGCCACTTGCTCAGCGTAATTTTATCTTAGTGGGAAACTTGAACCTTAGCTAATTTAAACTTGAGATGATCACAGCCTTCTTGGACTCAGAAGGCTCTGATATGGCTGTTGATGTCTTAGTGAAATTCCACAATATCTTTGGATCTTTCTTTACATAAAGTCATCTTATACAGAGTGGTAATGCGACTAAGTGCGAAAAAAATCAAGAGGTGGTTCCTTGTCATTCTTTAAGGAAATGGTTTTTAGAAGAAAACATGTTTTCTTTTTGATAGTCTGATCTTTTGGTTGATTGTAATATGTTCAGCTACCTATTTCAAAGGTCGTTGTGATACCTCTTAGACTGTATTTGTTGATAAGTAGTTTTTATCATGTGAGAAATGTGATGTTATGGCTGCTGTTGAATCCATTTAGGTAGTTCAATTTCATTCTATCATCGAAGATAAGATATAAGTTCACTTTTATCTACTGGTGAATATGAGTTAAAGAAAGAATTTGTTGAATAAATATTATAAGAGAGTGCGACTGATGCAATGTGGTGAATCTGATGATTTAGATGGAGATGGGAATGACGAGTGTTATAAATTTGATTATTTATCTCGCTTTTATTGAACTTTGATCACATTTTTTGTGTGATTTACTTCCTATTTAACACTGTATGTGTGGTTAAAATTTGTCGGATGAGTTATGAATCCCCTTGAATATAAAAATAACTTCTGACACAGTTTCTTGTGAACTGTCAGTTTATCCAAAGTTTCAACCATTATTTGCAGGATACTTTGTGTCATCTGTATCCTCTGGATTCATTGAAATATACCATAGATGTACATTGGACGTCCAGGAACTATCCACAGTTATTGTATTCGAATGTTTCATGGACATCCATTTCACTAAATATAGACATACAATGGACGCCCAATGTACGCACAATTGACGTCCATTTGACCTTTTCCAGTGCTGAAAAGGTACGCCCAAAGTAGTGTCCTGGACATCCATCGGATATCCTGAACATCGATATTTAACGTCCATTGTTCATCCATTGTACGTACATGTGCTGTGTTGGGCAGTTCCGAGTCCAAATAGAATCATCTTCAGCGAAAAGTGAAAATTATACAATTATTTTTAAGAAATAGACTCTTTATTTCAAATTGAATAAACATAAAAACATAACATAATAAAATAATAATGGATTTCCACAAGTGAGCTGGGGCAGAATGAACGGCTGGGGCAGCGTGCACATACTGGGCTGCACGTACTGGAGCAAGCATGTACATACAAGTGGGGCAGAGTATACATTGTGTACTGGGGCAAAGTATACATTCTGTACTGGGGCAGAGTGTGCAGCTGGATCTGAGTAGACTGGAGTTTCTTGCTTCTCCACGACTGTGTTGAACATGTCGTGGTTATCAGCAGAATAGTGGACAGTACGAAGGGTGCTATCGGGATCAGCTACGGAGCAGTACTAGCAGTAGCCCTTCACAGAGCCACCATCACGTTGTTCGTATTTGGGGTGAGCCTCTTGTTAGTAAAAAAAAATAAAAGCATCCCCATGCACTGACGAGAGAATTCGCCAAATTTTCGTATATAGATGTCTGCAGTAGGCTGTACTTTGAAGTAGAGACAAAGTTACTAGCTCCTTGTGTTACGTTTGTATCCCGTTTAGTTTTTGAGGACACAAGAAATATTCGATTTGACCAAAATTTTATTATTGTAGGGGCTCTCAGAAACTTTTGTCGATCTAAATGGAAAAGCTATAGGTATAAAGAAGCTCTCGCCTGGCTTTTCCATTTAGATCCACAATGCAAAAACACCCAGTTAGATTACTTAATAACCTCAATAAGAATCATTCTGAAATTTTGTGACTTTGTCAGTCACTAACCAGACTAAATTCTGACACTATGGAAGCTTATACAGAAAGGGTATCATGAAAATATAATAAATACTTTAACATGAACCAGGGATCTTATAAACGAAGCAAGTATAATAGTTATTTATGTATCAAGGGCGTAAAGTATGCGTTTATGGCCTGTGGCGTGAATAATGGCCCGATGGCGCTAGATGAGGGCCATTACACGCTGAAGGCCATAAACGCATTTTACGCACGAGATACATACAAAATTGTATGCACTAGTGGTTTATTTTCTGACTCATAAGTAATGACTATAGATTTCGATAAACTAATATTCCCCAGAATTTAATTTGTTACGTATTAATTCAGTGATCAAGAGAAGCGAAATGTTCATGGATGATTTACATATGAAAATTATTGTACGAATATTGCAATTATCGTAATAGTAAAACTCTTTCAGTCTAGAAGAGATTCATTCTTCAGAATTTTACAATATGCATACCCAGTATACAAACCTAACTTATTTTGACGTTGTCAATCAATCTGATGGTTGTTGTCTATAGCAATACATCCAATAAACAAGCCGAATTGTCAGTCTCTGACTGAAAAGTAAAATTAGTGATAATAATAATAGCGAGACTATGGAATCAGATAAAGAAGAAGTTTATGATATACCGCTGAATATATTAGAATCTAGCAATATGATCATAGGTTTTTCATGAATTGATATGTGAATATGAGGTGACTGAGAACAGCGGGCGGTAAAGTGCACTTTACGGCCCGTGGGCCATAATGAGCCTGCGGGCGGTAAAGTGCGAATTAACGCCCGCAAAACCGGGCGGTAAAGTGCTCTTTACGACCCGCTATTGCATAAAAACATATTATACATTGAAATGTTTTTATGAACATTTTTCTTTAAGAATGACAAGGAATCACC